AAATGAATTGTTTCTTTTATTTTTGTGTATGGTTAATAACCGAATAACTGAACCAAATCAAATCGAAACCACTAATCACCAAATTGATAAATGTTTATTATATTTGGTTTGGTTTGGTTTTGATAATTTTAAAACCCACCCCCACCCCCCTCCTTTTCTCTTTAAGACTAAAAAGTATCCTTATCATTTAAACATATTTTCAAATTTAAAAGATTTTTAATTTTTAATTTTTAATTTTTAAATTTTTAATTTTAAATTTTAAAAATTTGAACAAAGCGTGTTTTATTTTTACTTTTATATTTTTTTAATACTTTAAATTAATTTTGTTAATTCATATAAACTCTATTAATTTTAGAAATTGAAATTCACTTTTTACCTCAACTATTATATATATATATACACACACTTTTTGAAATTATTTTTTCTAATTCAATATAAACTATGTTTAAAAAGACTTATGGAGTAGTAATTTCGTTCACATGTTTATAATTAGTTAATATTTTTTATTCCTTTAATGAATACATCTTCTTATTCTTTTTTTTGTTTATGATTAAAAAGTATAATATGGCTGTCTTTATTATAGGAATTTAAAAACAAAAGGTGGTTACCTATTTTAGCAAACCCTGTTTTCATTTTGCTTTTCTTATTTTAATTTTATTTTTGTGATTATTTTTTTTCAAATTTGAAATTAATTTTGTTAAATAATGGAATAATTATTTCAGTAGCATATTAATGATTAGTTGATATTCTTTTGTTCTTTTTCTTAATTTTATCCTTTTCCTTATCCTTTAAAGATATTTTCAGATATAAATATTTTTTAATAATATGATTTTGTAATTTTTTTAGAACAAATCGTGTAAAGTTATTTCATTTTTTTTTCCAAATTTGAAAATAATTTTGTTAATTCAATATAAACTCTACTAATTTTTTTTTATAATGAGAAGTTATTTCAGTCACATATCTGTAATTAGTTAATATTTTTTGTTCCTTTTCTTAATTTATCTTCTTATTTTTTTCAAATTTAATTTAAGATTAAAAAGTATCCTTATCCTTTGACCAAAAGTATATTTATCCAATGTGCATGGAACAGTTATTTCAGTTACATATTTAGTAGTAGTTAATATTTTTTTGTTCCTTTTATGAATTTATCTTTTTATACTTTTTTTTTGTTAAAGATTAAAAAGTATTATTATTCATCAAAGATTTTTTTGATAATAATAATCCATAGAGTTTAAATGTTGTCTTTAATTTGAATTCAATAACTCTAAAATTTTGTAAGGGAAAAGGGTTTGATATACCCCTCAGCTTCGTCATTTAGAGCTGATATACCCCTCGTTATGAAAGTGGCTCATATATACCCCTACTTGTATACAAATGGCTCACATATACCCTTTTTCTCTAACGGAAATGAAAAAAATTAATTTTACTTTAATATTTATTTATTTATTTTTAAAAAAACATAATCCCATATGAGTATATTTAATCCTCCTTAAACATTTT